AATTGGAAATCAGTCGTCAGTAGCACAGTGATTCGGTGGCCACCAGTACTGAACTGCCTTTCCTTATTTTTCGGGGCGTGCAGCTACGGATGCTTGCGGCACAACGAACAGCTGCGACCAGAACGCCACTTGCTCTGATGGCCTTGGCAGCATGCCCTCGTGCACATGCAACGAAGGGTTTTACGGCTACGGCCAAACCTGTGCACGTACGCACCTGCGGACGTGATACCCCCCACTAAGCTTCCGAATGTGCCCATATGCCTGCTTTGATAGGGGAACACCACCACTTTGACGCTGCTGCTTAGTTCACTCTCCACAAGAAGCATCTCTGAGTACTCATTGATGCCCCATACCTGCAAAGTAGGAAGTGACAAGGTGATGCGCACGGATGCTTTATGGTTGTACAGCCCTGGCTAGGACTTCAGAGTGCACTGATGAAAGCTGCTGCTCTAACGGGCAGTTCTTTATGAACAATGAATGCGTTGGTAAGCCTCGACAAGCGTGCCATTCATGAAGAGAAGCAGGACAAAGTCTATAGCCACGAGGATACTGCATCTACCGCCAAACGTTCAATTGCTTTAAGCCAGTCATGCTCCCAAAATTCGCTGTGGCTTTGTTTTCCCGTCTTTCTGCAGAGGTTGTGGACTGCAAAGAGGCCAAACTTGAGTGCGGAAAAAACGCATTTTGTGCACAGCAACCTGGGAGATTTACCGAGTGCATGTGTGCACCCTTCTTCAGCGGCGACGGTCACGAATGCGAGCGTAGGTAGTAGCTCCATCTGCATGCAAACCTTTCATTCACACGCCGCGAAGCCTTTACGCAATGGAATGAGTGGCGCAGGTTTTATTCAGACAATTTTAGTGCAATATGGGGATGCTTATTTGCTGGCGTCGACTACTGCCTTTGATTGCCAATATGTGGTCCCGCAGCAATCGACACATGCACAGATGGAGAGGCGCCTTGTCATGAACACGCCACATGCAGCGAAGGCATAGGCCAGCTTCCCACTTGCACATGTAATGAGGGCTACTTTGGCAGCGGATATGACTGTGCTGAAGGTGGGGAACGGTTTTAGCATGGAAGTGTCTTTTTTGCAGATAGAAAACACTGTTGAACCCGCGGTAGTCAAGGTGCTGCCTTGAAACTCCGAGCATCGTGGTGCTATACTTTGCGCTGTTGCTCTTTCTCTCCCACATACGCACACCGTGGCATGACCATTTGCCTCTGTGTGTTGATACGCAGTTGCTGGGGGTGGAGGCGGCGGCACCACTGCTCCTGAAGAGATAGCCAAGTATACATTCGGACCGGACACTACCATCAAGCTATTTTTGAAGGATCAAAGTTCTGGGAAGGTTACATTGAAACTTGGCTCGTGCTACGCAGTCTTCCTCGATTTCAGTGAGGAACCGGAGGTGCCTCACAGCCAGTATAACGACGAAGATCTCGACTTCGACAATCAGAATCTGTTAAGAAATGGTCCTTGTATTGTCCTGATTCACAGGGACGCAGACACGTTGACAACCCTTGCGTATACTTCGAATGAGAGTAACCCAGATTGGCAAACTGCGACGACCACTCATGCATACAAGGATTGCGTCTTTTCAGACGTTCGCGTCCTTGCGCCTCAGATGGAGCCCTCCCTGATCTCGGTGTCAGTCACGGTTGATATAAAGCTTGTAGAATAAGTGGGGTGCCCCATAGCTTGCGGTGTCGCAACAGCACCAGACTTACTCCATTCTTTACCCTTGCGTGCCTGCTCAAGTTAGAAGAGCTGCGGGCATCAGACGTAACCAAATTATGCCTTCCTTTTCTACATACTGGGCATGTCGCACCAAGCTTTTACGGTAATGATGGACATCGGGATTGCCACTGTGCATTCACGGCCACTTGCACGGGTGGATTCCCATCGATTATTCGAGGGAGACTCACTGGAAAGCACGTTCTTGCACCTTCACATCAACCTTCAGTGACATGAGCCCCTTCAGCTCTTCAGTCTAATGGCCTTAGGTGGCGCTTACTTCTGTCGCCATTAGTCCACAGCTACTCTGTGCGTCTACTCTCTGGGCAGCGTCACGCATTTCGATGCCTTGAGATACGAAGATTCTTTTGCATTACTTCGCAACGCTATTGTGCTTTTTATTAAGGGACTTTAACCACACTTCGTCCCCTCCGTCTTGAAGCAGTCTTACGCACAGCCAAACAGCAATGCACCTTGTAGTGTACAGGCAAAAGTTGGTGTAGCTGCTGCTATAAGGAACTTTCGCAGGCGTCTACTTTCTTTGTACGAATGGACTGAGTGGCTACGGATGTAAGCGCAACGGAAGGAGTAGGTAGCTTAGTGCTTGTTCCTCTGATAGCCGTTGTCGCTGCTGCATCTACGAATGTATATTTTCTAACCAAGTTTACTCAGTATGATGACAACGACTTTTCACCCCAAGATTAGTGGTGAATCGCTTATTGCACTGACTGTTGTGTACGGGAGTCCGGGGGTCGATATGCATACCAAGGGCAACATGAGCTCAGATCCTCCGAACCCCCGCTTGCTGAGAACTAATCGGCATGTTTTCACATCAGAATGTTCAACCACTCTACTGTGTCTTAAAAATGATCCATTATAAAGGCCACTTGCATACAAACGCCTAAGCGTCTTGAATTATGGAGATCTTTGCCGGTAGCCCTGTTCTGCTTTGCTAGACGTTGCCATCAAATCCCATCCCGTGAAAGCGAAGTATTATCACCTGATCGGTGGAACTTATTTTGTAGAGCTTTGTACACCTTATTGCAGGAATGTAGCCGTTATCATGGAGTGGAAAGGTAAATATACCTTATGATCAAAGTCGCACTATCAGCCCTGGAGGGAATGCGCTTGCAATCTCTCTCGGGGGCACCTATCATTGTGCAATTCACCAAGTAGCAACACATGACCATTAAGCCCATTTATAGATTTGATACTCGTGCACGTCGGCTTCATTACATTTTATTCTTGAGGTTTAGAACAGGGAGCCGCGCTGCTTCCGCCTTCCAGAGTCGGCTGGCGTATTGAGAAGGACGCGGTCTTTAGCGCTAGTCAGGCGGTCTTGGACGTTTATCGCTATAACTTCATTAATTGTGGAGAAGGCCTCTTGAAAGCCGCTGGCGTACCACACGTTGCTCCTTGTTTGTAGCGGTTTAAATTTTTTGAGCCTTCTAATAGCAATCTGTCGTCTTTAAGATATCTGCAGCAATCTGCCATCGGTTTAGAGCCTTCATATGACCGTTCAATACAGGTGGTTTGCGTTGCTCTACTAACAGTATTCAGACAACAATCAGAACCTTAGAACGGCATCCTATATGCCCGCATCTTCGTCCTTCTTCTTTACGTTGAGCATTCCCTACATGCGCGACAGTTGAAGCACGAATTAATTAACATTTTCTGCGCAGGTCCTCTCCTCCTACTTTCCATCCCCGGTGTGTAGCGGGCTAAGCTATACAGGGGCAAAAGTAATACAACAATATGCAATGTCGTTCGTGTGCAGTAAATACTATGCGCAATTAGCTGTGGATGCTTCGAGTGCTGAGAGGGTCGGCTACGACACCCTGGCTGCGCTCTCGCCTCGTGCGTGGAATTCTGAAGGGATCAGGCAGAAGAAAGGAAAAGCGGGTGGGAAACACTCACTAACTCTCTGCTAAGCTTGTTTTGAGTCTGGAATCAGTTACATACCTACGGAGTCCTTCAAGGACTGGTATATGGCCCATGAAGAGTAGGTTTGAGATACACTCACAAAAATCGTGGGAAATGATAGCATCGCTTGTTTAAGACCCTTAGAACGCCGGTAGGCGAATCACAGCTAAGGGGTAATGTTTGAATAAACGCGCGGTCTCCTTACACAGATACATAGACTTTACTGATTTAGCATACAAGGCGGTACGCGCCCTGGCTAGATTAGCCCACAGTCACGTATTCCTAGAAACCATTATGGATACTGCAATCTCTGGCATTGTAAGAGAAGTATATTTGGAGCGTACCGTTAATTCTTTCCCCGTCCGCCCTGCTTCAAGATACAGCTTTCTCATGGGAAGTGGAAGTGAGAAACGTGAAAGTTGCATTGCTATTCCTGTGGCTTACTCGTGCCAAGCCATGCCTGGCAGAACCCCAGGGTATGACACGCAGTCATGCCCCGCGGAACACTACATAAACCTTGAAGGAAGTAGAAACAGGAGGTGAAGAGTTGCGGGTGTCAGCGGGCTCTACAACTGGCCGGAGAAGTAAATTGCGTTTCCTGGAGCTGTCCATGTGGCCAGCACAGATGCAACGAACGGCCAAATCAAAGGGGAATAAGAGCCTCTTGTTGCGTTGCTTTTATTTTCAGATTCCGTGCATTTGGGTTCCTATATAGAGGCGCCAAGACCCGTGACCCTCATAATGCCTGAGTGTGTTTTTCTTGGGCCAAGAAACCCTCAGCACGCCTACGAGAAAGCGGACTACCTCTTGAAGTTCCTTTCTTTCTGCCAATGGGAGCCATGAGGGCACGTTTCTGTAAGCTTGCTCTTGCCGTTTTCTGCTGTGAATGCTCGCGTTGGGTTTTATCTAGTTTTATGCACTTTTTTAAAAGACCAGCGTCGAGTTCAATGCTCAGATGCGCTCATAGATCCATTTTGTTCAACAGCACATGGAATTGCTACACAGTTTTACTAAGTTGCGGAGTCGGTTGCTCCTTCCCCCCGTGTCGCCTTGCTTTGCGTGCTCATAGAGATCCACATACGGGAGAAATCGATATACAGATGCCTAAGACGCGGCCTCACTGCTCCACTGTTTTTCGATCGACGCGCAGACAGCCATAGCTAGATGTAGGTCAAACCGCTCCTTTTGCAGCTCTCGCCATGGGCATGCATCGGGGCACCTCCCCTGGCAAGCAGGAAAGTTCCATCAATTTACAGCCTCGAGAACTGCAATCTATTCATAGCGTGAAATACTGTTTGGGAGGTGAGGACCGCAAAAAGCAACTCCAGAAGAACCCTATCTATCGCCAGCTATCTTCACTGCCCACCAACTCCGCATCGAGGCTCTCGCCCTCTGTGTTTATGCTAGAGGGATACTGGAGCGTCTCAACATCCCCGGAGCCTCTGCGCGGCTGCCTAGAACTTGGCCTTAATCCAGAGAAGGCACGCTGACGCAGAGAGGGAAAACGCCGGTGTTTTGGCCCTGCAGAGGCTGACGATGACGAAGCATCGTGTTCAGAAGCATCATTCGGATTTGCCTGTTCTGCGCGATCACGTAACTGCCTGCACGGACGCCAACACCGACACAGAAGCGCATTTTCTAAGGGTCCTCAGTCTGCATCTGCACGCCAGGCTATATTGTATGGGTAGACTGCCCTTTTTCGGTCCAAGCTACGTCGTGCGTCTCTCCCTAGAGGCGTGAGCGGCACCGTCGACAGAAACAGCAGCAGGCCTGACAGTGACAGCTGGAGAGCTGGGCACGCCACATTATACTCGGCGCATATAAGGAACCCTGCGCTCACCGGAGGACGCGACGAATGTGAAGAAGATGCTTCATTTGGGAACGTGCTATTTCCATCTGCACTCATGACAATACTAGTAGTGCACACATGGCTGACTGCGTTATGCCCCTCCGCTTTCGCGAATGCGCTTACAGCACAGCCCTGCCCTGATTCTTGTTGCAGCATGCAGTGTGCGCCTGTTGCTGCGTGGAAGCGGTTCTCTCGCTTCGCTGGTGTTGGGTGGCTCTTTCGAAACGATGCGCTGCTCAGAGAAGGGCGAGGCAGTACCGCTAAATAGGAGCATACAGCCTTTCTTGCCCCCTTCCCTCCCTCCCGCAGTACGCATATACATACAGCCAAAAGGGTCATAGCGGGAAAGGCCAGCAGAGAATACTTTCACAGACGCAGCAAGCTACGAGGGGTCAGGACCATGTTCTCCGTCTGTTGTCACCCCGTTAACAGTTTGTGCTAGACTGAGAACTCTTCCCTTCTCTATGGTTCGGTTTGAGCTGGCGAATGCAGAAGTCAAAAGCGGGAGCACACGGAGCAAGCGGCGCAAGACACCTGCCTTCACAGGCCCTGCCCTTCCTTGCCCTCCATCCCTCCTTTGCATGCACGCATGGTGCACACACGGCCACACGATCTAATGCGCTTCCCTGTGTGAAATTAACGAACCTGCCAGTAGGCGCCTCCCGAAGTAAACATGGGCTGTACCGAGCCGATGCCCTCCGCAGTAGACAGCGGAGCACTGCTTGCTGGCATTGCTGCTCCTGCCGCTGCTGCAGGATCTAGAGCAGCTGCAGCAGCGATCGCCGAGGCCATGTGCACCTTCTGACTCCTCTCCAGTGCAGCACGCCGCTCACGAAATGCTTCCTCTGCCTAACATCACGCAACGTAAAAGTGGCATGGATTCGTTGGCACTCCATGGAACTGGACATGCTCGCACACTTTTCGATACTCCTGAACCCTTAAGACAAGCTGCGCACGCAACCGAGGCGTGCGCGGCGTGTCTTAGGACTGCACGAAAATGCCACTGCAGCAAGCTGAAGAGGTGCTGCATAAGGAAAATGTTCTCAAAGGCCCTTGCAAACAGAGGCTCATCCTGTCCGTCTGCCCTTGTCACTATAGCGACGCAAGTGCCATCCACACAACCAGGTATGTATATATATTTGTATATATATAGATGTATTTATATGTAGCCTTCGCATCGCTTCGCATGCCGAGGCTCTTCGAGAACCGCGGCAACCTAGAAACCAAATTACTCTTTGTCGTACCTTCTTGAAGGCAGCAGCTTTAGGAACTCCCTGATTCATCAGTCGTAGCTGCAAGGCAACAAACTGCATGGCTGGATGGTCAGCTCGGAAAGTGTCCAGTCCTGAGCACACGCAAGCATGCAGATTCCCACTGCAGCGTCTACCTCGCGGAGGAGGCGGCGTCTTGCCTTAGGTTACGACGCCTTCTTGCCAGCGAAATGCAAACGTTCGCGTGCCATACAGGACAGCAAAAAGAAGCCGCACTCCACCACAGCAGCCGCAGTTACTGCGTGGTGTCATACGATGGCCACTTGAGTGCAGCGGCGACCTGCAGATCTGTACATGTGTGTTTGTCAGTAGATATGTACATATACACACACGTATAGAGAGCTTTGCCTAAATACATCCACTAGTGTCAATATAGGGATATAGGAATATATATATATACAGAGGCACATCTTTATACATATCTAGGGAGAGAGTTAGCTACGCATACATACATACACTAAAGGTAGAGGAAGATGCAATGGCCCCCAATCAGGGCACAAGGGCCCCCTGTCAGCGTCATCAAAGTTCGCTTCCTCGCGCGTCGCTTTAATTGATTTCACTGGTGGCAACAGCCACAAGAGTCTAGACTGACCTTTGACCGGATCGTTGCCCTCGACAAAACAGTCTTGAAACCTCACATCCGGATACTTCTGGAGGAGCTCGCGGGTTAGCGCGAGGTATGTGTTGCTGCATGATAAAGAGCAAATACATAAAAACAAATACCAGCAATGGGGAAGGAAGCTCCCATGGGCCGATGACTGGATGCACACACTGCACTGCCTAGAACACGAGCCAAACACCCCTCAACATGCGACCGCGGCATGCATTTAGTGAAGGATTCGACAAGGGGCGACTTGAGGAGAAGAAAACTGATTTCGACGCCATCGAGACGCACACCTCCCAGGAGGCCCTCATGCTCTCCTCGACCCTTCTCCCCTTTCCTCCCTCCTCCCTCCCCCCCCCCTTGTTGCCTGTTTTTAAATGTATAATACGTACAAACAGAAGTATATACATATATACATATATATATGTATATGGGAAGCAGTGATGATCCGCCGTGGACAAAAAACACCAAGAGAAAGACCCCTTAAAAGCGCGGAGAGGTGGGTAGCGGTAGAAGAAGAATTTTATCAGCCACCCACACCACATGCGCTAGCGTGTATGGACTAGGCAGGGCATGCTCTAGGGACAAAAATAGGTGTTGGCGTCCTTACTGGACTCTCCTGCATTTGAGGTGCAAAGAGCTCAGCTCAAGCGGAGGGGCTCTTTCCGCATATGTCAGCCATTGAGGCCGTTGCATCATCCGCTGGTGCGTGAGAGCTCGGACGCGGCTTACAACATCTAAACGTCGGAGGCGGGAGAAGTTCGTGCCTGTGTACTGTGAAAAAAAGCAGGCGGCATGAATGGATGCGCATAGAGCCGTATGCGGCAATGCATGCAGGCGCATGTAACTGACTGGGGAGACCAGAGCTTGCGCAGACGGCGTCGGCTGCTCGGTAGGCTGATGCATGAACATGCGAATTGGCAGCTTGTGACAATGCGCAGCTCATGTACGACAAACACACGAAAACCCTTGAAGTGCACATCCAGCGGGTCATTCCGGGGAAGTTGACACCGATTGTATATAGCCAGCTGAGAGGCGCACAATTTACACTTAAAAGAGAGCAAGAGAGTGCTGACCGTAGGGAACGACGGATGAACCGGAAGAGGTGCACACAAGAAGGCAACTCACGTGTATGGCTCCCTTTGGCATTGTGAAGGCGCTCTGTTGGGCAAGGATGGATGATGTATATAGGTGATCCTTTGTCCTGCGTGCGGCAGCAGTCAGTCTGCCTGTGCAGTGCAGTCAAACTGGAACCTCCTCTCCGAACTGGTCGGCAGGGGGCCCTATGACGCGACACTTGATGAAGCTTAACAGCTTTCGAGAACTCAAAAAATAAATTTTGCCAGCAGAAAACAGCGCTACGTCATCAATGCGAGCTCGGGGGTCACGATTTCGAAAAAAAACAGGCACCATTCCTCTGTGCACGGGATGCAAGGGAGGAGGAAGCCGTGGATATTCAGGTAGTCAGAGCACCCCCATCTTACGGAACACAGAATACACGATTAATTCACAAGAACGTGAATTTTCGTGAGCTACTCAGAGGCCTTGTATCCTCCGGCTCCTTCGCTTCATCTGCGAGGGGCCCCCTCTCCCCATGATGCCGGGGGGCCCCATCATGCGATGGGGGCCCCTGCAAGGGATTTCCAAGACAAGTTTGGCAGAGGAGAAGGGAGCGCATCACGCGCTTTTGCTACTACAGTGGAAGGAAGTCGAGTCGACGGAAGCTTGCTAGACAATCCGCCATAGCTAGTGTAGTCCATGAAGTGCGCATCTGCAGTTCAACTTGATTTTGTTCGAGCATCCATGCAACGCATTAACATCCCTAATGTGTGTCATAACAAATACAAAGAGCGCTTGCCTTCTAAATAGATTCGGTAAAGTCGAGAAACGTTTTCAACACCCCATTGCCCCCCATGCGTGTCGGTAGCACATCTGTTAATATCGCCCTGTGAGTATGCCTGCGTTCTAACATGCATGCTTCTGTATCCTGGAAGCAGGTGGCCCCGTACTCATGCTAAATGACTGGTGAGAGGGAAGCTTCTCTGAACCGCTTTATCCACCGCACCTTCCCGCACGGGCGCGGGCACAACGATTCGTGACAGCCTGCAGTCCTACGCGCTCCCAAGACATCTTGGTTGCTAAAACAGACAGCAGCTGGTGTCTGCGTACACTCCAAGAAAGGCAAAGATGCACAACACTTCTTCAGTTCCAGGGTGACGAGAAGCTCATGATTTCTTGCACGTTTGGGGCTGCACGGTTTGCCTAGGATGCAATTTCGCTTGCCCCGAGGGGCCCCCTATGGGTGGATGAATGATACTATAGGGCACAGTACATAGAGTCCATGGACTAGATAGAAGCTCTATCACAAACTTTTCCCCACGAAACGTATCCCATGTGTGTACACACTCGTCTCCCTCTCTTTAGAATCCCCTACACATCCGTTTCCCTGCGAGACCTCTGGATGTTCTGCTGCGGACATGCTTCCGAGATTGTATATATAGATTTGTCTACGCGCGCAACTCCGCTTTCTAACTCTAGATTCATGAAAAGTAGCGCCTTCTGAGGGCATGCATCCCCTTTGCAGTGCATAAAAACGGGGGGCACCGTTCAGTTAGGTTGAATGGCACTGGCATCACCCCATTCCAACAAATCATGCAGTGCCTCTCTCGACACCGGCTTAGCCCCCCGGACGTGCACCCCCGCTGGAAGCGAGGGGACCTGCATGGCGATAGTGGACAGTGCACGTCTACTTGCTGGACAGAGCAGCCACACCAGGGAGCTCCTTGCCCTCCAAGAGCTCGAGAGAAGCCCCTCCTCCGGTTGAAACATGGCTCATCTTACACGCCATGCCGGATTTCTCGACTAGGGATGCCGTGTCACCACCACCAACAATGGAAATTGCACCGCCAGCCGTAGCCTGGGCTACTGCGTCCGCAAAGGCGGTAGAGCCTTTGGCGAAAGCTTGCATCTCGAAGACACCAGGGGGGCCATTCCACACTATCGTCTTGGCTCTCATAATCATCTGAAGCAGTTAAAACAAGGAATGTGGCCGACAGGGGTCGCCACACAAATCTGCTCCTGGTCGAATCGGGTGTTCCCTGCACACTCCCCTTGCCTCACAAACCATAAAGGGAATTGCTTTAACTAAAAAATATAGGTTCAAAAATCCTGGCAGCCGCATCACGCCAAGCCAGACCTTGTCAAGACCTCCGGAAACATGTCAAGTGCCTTTCACAGGGCTGCCCTCTTCCTTGTCTTGTATATGCACATGTATATGTGTGCATACATATATGTATATATACATATATATCCATAGATGTATATATGTACATATACATATGTATATATACATCCATATATACATATATACATATATATATATCCATAATTACACACAAACTTTCAAATACATATACATGATAGCCAGCTGCCCTAAGCGACAGACACACTTTTATTTCAATCATCACTCACCTCTTTTGCAAGCTGTACGGTCTTGGGTCCAACGTCCAGCCCCATCCAGCCGTCTGGAACGCCGGTCTTGTCATCACAGATCTGCGTTTTCGCGTCGGCTGCGAATTTATCGCCGCAGACAAAATCGACGGGAAGGAGCACCTCAACGTTCTTTGCCTTGGCCTCCTTCATGATGTCCTCGACAATCTTGGAGCCGTCTTCATCGAACAGCGAGTTACCAATCTTCATATTCTCAAGCGTTTTCTTGAAGGTGAACGCCATGCCGCCTCCGATGATCATCAGCTCCACCCTGTGCCGCGCACGAATAAGACGCATGCAGTGACCCCCGCGTAAGCGGCGTAAGTGGCGAGTACACCACACCCAGATGCCACAGTCGCAGAGCCCTATCCCCGCACAAGCGCTGAATACACCTTTTACACAAAGTATAAGAGCCGCCCGCCAAACAACGCCTGTTCAAGCCTGGATTTTTACACCTTCAGGCGCGAAGCATTCGCTATTCGCGCATGCACATGCAGCACATGTGCACCACCACACGGAAAACTCCACACATGCAAAACGCTCACGCACACAAAAGGCGCATGTTGTCAGGAAACTTCACGTTGCCGCACATACGCCAAAAGACGCAAGGGCTGAAGGTCGTTGCCGCTGGACAGCAGCAACTTCCCCCCCCTTTCCACCTCCCCTCCCTCTTGCATCCCGTTTCCACCACCTCTTCCCCCCCTTTCCATCTCCCCCCATACGCCGTTGAAGGGAGAAAGGCACCGTGAGGCGACATGACAAGCAGGGGCACACGGACTTATTCAAAAGATTCTTGATGAGTTGGATCTTATCCTTGACCTTCGCGCCTCCGAGAATGGCGAGGAAGGGCTTCTGAGGCGCTTCCAAAGCCTTCGAAAAGTAATCGAGCTCCTTCTTCATGAGAAGACCAGCTGCGCGGACGGGAAGGTTTACACCGACCATGGAGGCATGCGCACGATGGGCTGTACCGAAAGCATCGTTTATGAAGATATCTCCAAGCCTGAAGGGCAGCCGATCGGCCACGCACAAAAACACACATCAAGAAGCAGGCTTGGCGCGAAGCAACAGCCAGATGCGCATGCATACGAAGCCCACTTCGAATGCACCATCTCTCTCTCTCTGCCTTCCTCCCTCTCTCCCTTCCTCCCTCTCTCCCTTCCTCCCTGCTTCCCTCCCCGCGCACCCGTATTTTACGAAAGCATCCATGCATTCCTAAATCTACCCATGTATATATGCACTAGCAAGGCCAACATAATGCGCAGCACCGTGTAGACCGTCACAGTAGGTATCTGCTACACAAGACGGCTGCCTAACTTTCGTGTGAAGCGGCAGAAGAAAATTCCGGAAAAAGAAATGCTTTCCGCCCCGGTGCATGCGGCCAACCAAGAGCGCAAGAGCGTGATATTTTACTTGGTGAGTCCTGCGCGGAATTCATCAACACGCCCCGCGTCAGCCTTCACCTTGTTGCCGCCCTCATCTTCCCCTTTACCTTCTTCTTCAACGTGGAAACGGAGGTTCTCTAGCAGCAGCACCTCGCCATCCTTGGCGTTGGCAGCAGCCTGCTCAGCCTGAGCGCCGACGCAGTCCTCCACGAAGGAGACCTTGTTGTTGAGCCCGTGCTTCCTGAGATAGTCCTCTAGAACTGGAACGACTGGTTTGAGGCTGTATTTCGGCTGAACACGACCATCAGGTCGCCCACAGTGAGATAGGAGAATGACGGCTTTGGCATCGTGATTCAACGCGAACTTGATGGTGGGGATTGTTGCAGCCACACGCGTGGCATCCGCTACCTTGCCTTCCTTCAGCGGTACATTGAAGTCCACGCGCATCAAGACGCGCTTCCCGCTTAGCTGCACAGAAAGAGAGCGCACCGAGCAACATCGTGAACAAACAAGAATGCGAACCCAGAAAGTGCTCCGCCACGGCTTTTTCTCTGTATTTCTACCTCTCAACTGCTTGGTTTTGTAGCCTCCAAAGGGGAGGCCTCCTAGAGACCATGCAAATGCACTGCTACACGCTGGAAACACGAAGAGCAAACACGGCGCCCCCAGCTAACTGCCCGCATTTCAGAAATTACAAACTGCATTCGACAGAAACACCTCATCATATGATAAAAGGCATATCTTTAAATACACTCGACAAACATATTACGGCCACAGGGGCAAGGTAAAAAGCAAGTACCCATGAGCTACTTTCACACACAGGCGGTAAGGGAAGACCAACAGAGCGGCCAGCTTTCGCACAGCAAGCACCAGAAAACTTCAGAATCGCACAGGCCTAGCGGCGGGCGCCCTAAGGGACCGACTGCATTCATTCGCCACAAGAAACTGGCTGTGCAAATTCACGTCACACGGGGAGCGCACTGGCAAATCGGCTGGCGATAACGTCCCCTTCCAAAACGTTTCGACGTACACCCAACGACAGAACTTCTTGCAAATAGCATCCACTCGCGAGGATATACGACTCAGCATGAAAAAAGCAAGGAAATACGGTAATTTCGAGGGCCTGCAGCAGCCTCGCGTGTGCTGTCTCAAGCACCTCTGCAACCAGACGACACCGGACCACTCGGTACCGCCGAAAGTCCAGCAAAGGCACAGCACTAAATGCATGCAGAATCATAAAAAAAGGAAACACATCTACCAGAACACGCACAATAGAGCCTATTTACGCCCCGCTGACCTGATCCGCCACCTGCTCGATGCCCAGTTTGCTGGCCAGCATTTTTAGAAATTCGAGGTCCAACGAAATGCGTAGCACGCACGTAAAGTGTATCAGCAAGGTGTTTCTAAACGCGAATACGCATGTTCATGTGTTTCCAGTTTAAGACTGGGAGTGATGTCGACAGGTCGAGAGGAGGCTGCATGGGATGCGCCTGCGTGCGCGCACTCAGCTTCCGCACCATGGGGACTTCGAGTGGCGCCTTAGACCTTCGAATCGAGTAGAGAAGCCCCAGGTTTTCCTTCCTGATGTTGATTTTTATATCTTTGCATGTGAATTATCGGGCTCTGTATGGGCAAGGTGCTCTAACACTCTCCTCCATTCGGCGCATGTGTGTGCCTGCCATACGCTTCGGGGGGTCTTCTGCGTTACGGTAGACACTGCGACTGCAGGAAGGGCGGCTCGCTGTCGTACACCGGCCTTTGTAACGGGCTTTTGCAGCACTGGCGTGTGGCAAAGCGACAGGAGAGTTCCTCCATTAATGTGAGCCGCGCTTCCTGCTGCTTTTTCTGCGCCATCTCCCCGACTGTCTTGCGAGCACATCCGGCGAGGACTGCGGCAGCAAACTTCTTCTAGCTCTCTGCGAATCAGGAGTGCTTCTTCTAGCTCTCTGTGGTTCAGGAGTGTTTCCTCTAGCTCTCTGCGAATCAGGAGTGTTTCTTCTAGCTGCCTGTCTGCCGCTCGCTGCTTCCCGAGAGAGAAGGTCTTCGCCTGCCTTTGGGCTGAGGCAGCCAGCGCATGCCAAGTGGCGAAGCGTCCTGGGCACGTGTTTCATCGGAAAGCCACACGCACACTTCGATGTGCTGACGGCGGCTGCAATCCTTTAGCTACCCGTCTTCGCGAGATGCTGCACGCCTGAGCAATCATGGGCAGCCGGCACTGCTCCCCTCTGCAAAAACTTTGCCTGTTAGAGGCCCCGTCTATTTTTGCTTCCCTTCGGAGCGACAGCACACGCCAGCAGCGGTGGCTTGCCAGCGCAGCGAGCGCAGGAGGGCGGCTGGGAGGGTGGAGGCTGCATGGAGACTTCTTTGGGAAAGAGGCATCGTCGCGCTTCGGCAGCGTCCCCTCTCCTCGGGAGTGTGAGTCTTTCACACGCTCCTGTGAGGCGCAGCAGCAGAGGCAGCGGCAGCTCCAGAGGCTTTGCCAGCAGCGGCAGGATTGCAGGCTGCCATGGCAGGTGCCTTCTTTGGCGAGGCAGCCGTTGCGCTGCGCACAGGGGGGAAATTTCGAGAACCTTTGCTGTGGAAGAGCCTGCAGAATTCCCTCAAAGCGGTCGTTCGCTCCGCCACTCAGCTCAGGCGAACGGCCTATGAGCAGCAGCAGTAGTAGCAGTAGCAGCAGTAGTAGCAGTAGCAGCAATAGTACCAGTAGCAGCAATAGTAGCAGTAGCAGCAATAGTAGCAGCAATAGTAGCAGCAGCAGCAGCAGGGGGGGGGAAACTGTTGCAAAGTCTAGCCCGTCCAGAGGGGCTTCCTCCAGCTCCAACAGTCGCAGCAGCAGCGGCAGATTTGGCATTCCTTCTGCAACTGCCATAAGAAACTCGCCGCACTGGGTAGGCATGCGCCGGCAGAAGCAGCGCTTGCAGTATCTGTGGCTATGCGAGCTGAAGCGGCAGCAGCAAAGGTGTTCTCGCTTCCATAGAATGAAGAACTTGCTGGCCGCTGTGCCGCTGCATGCGCTGGAGCTGCTGCACCGTTTGCGGCAGAGTCTGAGGCGACACGGGCAGCAGCAGCTGCAGCAGCAGCTGCAGCAGCAGATGCAGCAGCAGAAGGGGTCTCTGCATATGAAGGGGAAGCGGCTGCGGCAGAGGCAGCAACTCGCGCTGAAGCGCCTTGGACAGCGGCTGCGGCTGCAGCAGCAGCAGCTGCGGCGACAGCTGCAGCAGCAGCACTCTGCGCTTCAGGAAAAGCGTATTATATGGGCAGAGCGGCGAAGAAGACGCCTAGCTGCAGTTGTCTTGCTGTTGCAGCAGCAACGAGTTCATCTTGCAGCAGCCACCACGGGGGTGCGTCAGCCTTCGCAGTCTCTTGGACCATGATTTTTGTGTGTCTTGCTGCATGCATGCTTGTCGGTGCCGCTACAAATGCTTCCGAGTATTACTGCTTCCACCAATGTCTCATGCATGCATACCGCTATTACCGACAGACCAAAGAGCGTTTTCTTCTGTGTATGGATGTATGGATGTGCCTCTCTTTCTGTCTGTCTGTCTCTTTCTGTCTGTCTCTCTTTCTCTCTCTCTTTCTTTCTCTCTCTATTTTTGTCTGTCTGTCTGTCTGTCTGTCTATCTCTCTCTCTCTATCCCTCTCTCTCTATCTCTCCCTTTCTTTCTCTCTTTCTCTCTCTCCTTTTCTGTCTCTCTTTCTCTCTCTCTGCTTTTGTCTAGGAGGCCTCCTTCCCTGTCTTCTCGTTTATGTTGTCTGCTCCCCCCTTGCCACTTGGAAAGCTCCTTCCGCCATGCCTTCTATGCTCAGCTGTGGGGGTATGCCTGTGCCTTTCAGGCCAGACAGAAGCTGAGGAGTCTATGGCGGCGTTATGGGTGGACGGCCGTTGTATCCTATGGAATGTAAGTCTCGGTTTCAAGTAGCTGACAGTAATGTTCGGGGCTGAGGTAGCTTTGAACTAGCTGGCGCGTGAGCTAGCTAGCGAGCGAGCTCGCCAGCTGGCTAGCTAATAAAACGCGCACCGAGGAGGCCGAACAGGCGGTGTATATTTATAACATATATATAGGTATGTGTGTGTATGTATAGGTATGTGTGTGTATGTGTGTGCAAATTGTAGCGAATTCCTGTCGTTTTGATGTGCCTGTTTTCTTGTGGAGCGGGGGGCGACTGAATGATGTTTTTGTTGCAGCGTTCATTCGGCTACTCTATTAGCCCTCTTCGCTATTGCCTCAGCCGTTCCTGCGGCGAAGCTGCAGGTCGCTGCGGATTTTGTTCGCCTTGGCCGTCTTTCAGAGACTGCAGCTTTGGGTGCGGTATAGCAGCAGTTTGCCATAGGGGGTGTGTGTGCTCTCTCTGTTCTTCTCTGTTGCACTTGTCTCCCCCTTCTTTCTCTTCTGCCCCCGCAATCCCATCTCCTTGCCGCTGAGTTTTCTCTGCAGTCGCACCCTATACAAGCAGGCATTTCCTAAATGTTTCCAGTGTGTATGGCATGGAGGCATGCATGTGGGTGTGGGTGTGCGTACACCTGAATGTAGAGGAGTGAATAACGCTCCTTTTCCCTCCTTGGTTTTTTCGAGATGCGTCTCTTTCTCTGTGAACCGCCTCGGGCAGCACTTTTTTCTTTTGCTTCTTTCCTGCTCGTCTGCGAGCTCTGCTGCTTGCCCACTTGTCTGCTCCTTTTCTGCCTGCGCGTCTGGTTTCATCTCGCTGAGGGCTCTGTAGCAACACGTGCAGCGTGGCGTGTGTGTGTTGCGTTCGTTCTCTTCACGACCCTGGCAGCCGCTCCTTCTCTAGCTGCGCATGCACGTTGATCGACGCAGGGCAGGGGGTAGGGAGTAAAAGCCGCGGTAGGGGGGGGGTTTGAGGGGGGAAGGGGGAAAAGTTGTTTGTTGTACCTGATTGCCTACCCGAGATGCGGCTCTCGAAGCTCAAGAGGGTTGCCCCCTGCGGTGCATATATCGATACACCAGGAAAGCACGCAACCGTCCAAAATAGGCTTTTAGGGGCGGCGGGGGGGAGAGAGCAGTGGGAGGCGTTTCCTGCATGGGTGCTTTTTGTTAGTGGTTTCTTCCTTGCGCAGATACTGACACGCATCGTATGTGGGGTGCTGCTGTTTTTGCGTATTTCGCTGCCAAGGCCATAACCCCTCTCCAGGTACTAACGGAGGGAGCCCTCCCCTTGCATGGCAGTCGCACGATGCGGTGCAATGCTGTTCTATCGGTCTGCTGCTGCTTTTTTGTCTAGAGGTACCTGCTTTGTAGACGTGGTTAGCAGCGTACACGCGGGAAGCTGCAGAGGGGGGAGCGCCTTCGTAGCGCTATGCGCTGCCTCGCATGCGCAGCGGCCGCACCGAATCTCATTCTGTCGAGAATAGACAGGGGCAGCTTTCACGGCAGGGGTTTGCGTGCAGCTGGCGCTTGCCATTTGGCTAACCCCTGGCCTAGCGCGGCTCTTTGGCAGCCGCATCGACAGACTAGGCGGTCGCGCGGAAGCTGCAGCCTCCTCCGCTGCAGGGGGTGCTGCAGCGAGAGCAGCGGCGGCTGCAGCAACAGCGGCTGCTGCGGCGCGAAGGTCTTGGCGGGCTGCCAAGACTAGACGAGACTCCTGGAGAAAGGGAAAAGGCAAAGACATCTAAGCTAGGGGCACTGCGCATAGCCTTGCAATGCCCCCACTGCTGCCGTCACGTGGCGGTTTGGTAAAGGGGGTCGTGAAGAATGGGTGGGTAGAGGGGGCGCCTTCGGACGCTTTTTCTTCTGGCGGCGTTTGGGAGGTCTCAGAAGAGAGGGGCCACCTTCTGTGTGCATGGTTGCCTTCATTTTATATCCTGTCGCATTGACAGAAGAATGCGCCTTCCGAAGGGAAAACCTGACTGCCTTGGTGGCATGGGGGATGGAACTGTTCTGCTGCCGCGTGACGGCAGTCTAGGGTAAATAATATTGCGTGGGAGTGCCGCTAGGAGGGCTTTCTTCCCCCGCGTGCCCTGTCCATGCGTTAGATCGGCTGGATTCGAGTGCGGCCCCTATATGTGCCCTGCTGTATGCACACACACGCGCTCATGGCGTCTGAGTTGCCGAGTTTCCTCCGAGGACGCCGATAGTCTGTGCTGCTCGCATGGGTGGTGGTCACACCAGGCGTCTTTGCAGCGCAACAGGCCGTCTGGAGGAATCGGGCATGGAGAAGGGGCGTAATCATAGGCGGGGAAGCGGGTGCGGGGAGCTGCTTTCCCTGTATTTAGCCCTTGGCTGGCTAGGAGCCATGGGATTAGAAGTAGGGATGGCCGATGATTTGGCGTGTGAAGAGAGGCTTTTGACGAGCGGGGGCCGGGGTGACAGGAGCTCGCTGTGTGTAAGACGCCAGCGAAACGGCGCGTTTTCACCAGAAGCTGGTGCACGTTGCTGGCGAGAAGGCGGGCAAGCCTATATGTTCCTCTGGCATCTCTTCTTGATGGCTGGTGTGGCGAAACAACGCTAAGTAATTCTCGATGGCTTGGCGACTGCAAGGACCAGTATTCATCTAGGCGTTACACGGGGTTGCAGGTGTTTGCGCTGCCGATGAACCCCCTCGCATATGTGTGCTGCGTAAAGTGTCCAGCAGCTAGTGGGTTGCCAGAGGGCTCTAAGCAACTGACAGCAGCCGTGGCCTATTCAAATGGCGTTACAATATATTGAGTACGCCCAAATTAGGTTGGAGTCTATGAGCAGGCTAACGGGGGGCTGCCTACGGAGGGGGTTGCCGCAGGCCTTTTCTTTCGTTTGGCCTTCCTTCCGCAGAGATTAGGCAGCGAAGCGTCAGTAGCAGAAAAGGGAGGCGGAGGAGAGAGGGTGAAGGAGTCATGGCAGACCGAATGAATGAAGTAGAGGCCTTTTTTAGAGCGCCTCCCGTTGATAAGCGAGTGTGTGTTTGCGTGTGTGGCCGCGGGAGGAAGGGGGGGTTGGCGTGCAGCATGAAGTGGCAAAAAGCGTCTCTTTGCCACGTTGAGTAAGGCTACTGAAGGAGCTTTGCGGCGTAAACAAGAGACCCTCAGCTCCATGAGGAAGGGTCCGGACTTGTCTGTACTCTATGACGGCAGCAGGGGCAAGGGCGGTTCTCGAGCAACGCTTCGTAAACACGCGGCTTGAGGCAAGGGGGTTCCCACGCTCTCCGGACTGAAAAGCGTGATCTTTTGATGGTGTTATTGAGGGGCACGTGAATGAGAATAGGGGTTTTTATCAGGCCATAGTTGGGTGCACACCCTCGAAGACCTCTTGGGGGGGCCTCTAGCGGATTGTGAGTGTTCTGGAATCGCCTTAGGCGCCCTCCTGCCCGCCGCCACAAGGGAGTCTCTGGCCTTTCGAACCGTTGACAAGCAGAAAAATACGAATTTAAAGCACTCTAAATCCTTCAAAGCGGCCTGTTTCAGCGTCTTTTTCGACCTTCAGTGGCATGTGCAGCACACTGGAAACACTTGCCACTGTGCGCGCGTTGGAAGCCGGCGGAACGGTCTTGAGGGGTTTCTTGTTCGTGCGTGCCCGCTTTTTCTGTGTGTCAGAGAATATGCATCCATTAATTTTATTGCTTTTCCGGCGTAAATTCCTCTGCTTTCTGATATGAGAGAGGCAGGGCCGCGAGAAAAAGGAATCTAGTAGAGCCCTTTTCCGCAGTCGGCCGTTCAACCTCAGCATCGGGAGGCGAGAGCACATAGAAAACACGCGATCCAAGCATCAAGAGGCTCAGACAGAAGGCGAGCAGCACCGACTTTCAAGGTTTCCTTTCCGTAATGGATCCGGAGGTGTTTGTACGGCAAGCCCTTGTGGCCCCCTTCTTGGCCCCTGGCTCCTACTTTCGGATCAGCATACCTGCTGGAGAGGCTGCTGCCGCTGCTGAGGAGGCTGCAGCAGCAGCAGCTAGAGCCGCTGAAAGGACACGAAATGCCGCGGCTTCTGCTGCTTCCGAGGCGGTGCTTGCTGCTGGGGGAAGCGCTGCTCTCGCAGCCGCTGCAGAGGAGGGCGCTCGGTTAGCAGCCGTGGCAGCAGAGACAAGCCAAGGCGACGAGCGCCTTAGTGTAAGAATGGAATTCGTTTGCGGGGGGAGACGCAACAGAAGCAACAGCAGCAGTAGCAACAGTAGCAGCAACAGCAACAGTAGCAGCAACAGCAACAGTAGTAACGGCAACAGCAACAGTAGTAACAGCAACAGCAACAGCAACAGTAGCAACAGTAGCAGCAACAGCAACAGTAGCAACAGCAACAGTAGCAACAGCAGCAGTAGCAACAGTAGCAACAGTAGCAACAGCGCTTGTGGCAGCTCCCTGAGCATCTGCCACACCAACAGGGGCACACTGAGCAGCTATCCGGTGTACCTTGGCATTGATATTTGTGGCATTGCCGGGGATGAATTGAGGACTTACTTGCGAGTATGCCCCCTCTGCAGCCTGAAGCTGACACGATTTAAGGCTTCACGATGCAAATCTGAATAGTTCTTGCAATACAGGATGCTCTGGTGTCTGTCTGCCTTCAGGCCCCTTCGTGTTACTGCTTTTTCATTGATGCGTCGGTCCTGCAACATCCAAGGCATCGCCGACGCATCAAAGAATTGGCACAGCAGCTCTGCAGCAGCAGCAGCGAGGCTGCTCCCCTCACCGGCGAGGTTTCCAGCAGCAGAAGCAGCGGAAGCAGAAGCAGCACTCCCACCACCAGTCCTTGCCTCTCTTGTGGGGCCCTTAACAATGCTGAAGGCCATTGTTACGAATGCTGCCTCTGCTGCTTCAGACCGCGACTTCCAACAGCGCCAGCGGCGGGCGAAAAGGAGGAGGGGCAGCAGCTCCCGCAAACTCCGCAGCAGACAACATGCTTTTTCTTCGCTGTAGATGGAGGGGAAACTGCAAAAACGCCTCAGTCGGCTGTCTTCATTAGCGAGACGCTGCTGCGTCTCTCGCAGCCCCGGAACGAGCGGCAGCAGCCGCAGCGGAAGGAAGACGGGAATGCAGCGCGATCTTGCTCTTGCGACAGCACTGCTAAAGCGCGTTGCAGTCTTCGTCCTGTGTTTTGTAATGAAAGGAGATGCTCTGGCAAAGAAGAAGACGCCGCCATGCAGGAGGCCTCAGCCTTGTGTGTACTCCGTACCGGTGAGAAACCGGCCGAAGAAAACGCATGCGCCTTCGCTGAAGAGGCGGCTATCCAGGAACGTCTACAGCTGGACAGACAGACGGTGCTGGTAGCCGTCGGGGGAGGTGCTTTGACAGATTTGGTTGGATTCGCAGCCTCCCAGCTGCTCAGGGGCCTTCGCTGCATCCTCGTGCCCACCACAGTTCTGGCAGCAGTTGATGCCGCTGTTGGCGGTCAGTATCTAAGAGTCAAGGGGTGATGGGATAATATGGGTTGAGGGAGTGCTGGGAATAGATAAGAGTCAAGGGAGTGCTGGGAATAGATAAGAGTCAAGGGAGTGCTGGGAATAGATTAGAGTCGAGGGGGTGCTGGGAATATATAAGAGTCAAGGGGTGCTGGGAATATATAGGAGTTAAGGGGTTGCGGGCAAATTATTAGAGTCAAGGGGTGCTGGGAATATATAAGAGTCAAGGGGTGCTGGGAATATATAAGAGTCAAGGGGTGCTGGGAATATATAAGAGTCAAGGGGTGCTAACAAAATATAAGAATCAGGGGGTGGTAGGAATAGATAGGAGTCAAGGGGGTGCTGACATCTGAGGTTTGTACATAAGGCGGCGCGAAGACGTCCTGCTGGGGAGTTATGGAGGGCCACGGTTAAGGGCAGGCTTGAGGCGGCTGGGGAATTTGCGTGCAGGGAAGACGGCTGTAAATCTTGGGGGGTTGAAGAATATGGTGGGATCTTTCATCGAGCCAGCGGGGTGTGTGATTGACATGGCCTTTGTGACTTCGTTGCCGGAGAGGCAGATTCGGTGCGGACTGGCGGAAGTCGTGAAAATAGGTGAGGTGGACGTACATACACCCTGGGCCTTGGAGGGAGTTTAAGGCCTTGTGGCGTATAGAGTTTGTTGAAGTCTTGACAGCGCTACGGAGCTGCCGGGTTAGAGGTTGTATTACTTTGCGGCAAGTGTCGCTCTCCGGGTTGTTGCTTTCCAGCAGTCCGTCTTTTTCGCCCTTCTGCTTCCTCTCCCTGTCCCCCTCCTCCTCCCCAGGGAATCGTTGCATGTGTGGCGTCTTCTCTGTCTCTCTGCACCCTCAGCGGCAGCTTTGAGCCCTACACTCCTGCAGCACCTGCTCACCACAAACCCCCGTTCCTTGGGAGTCTTCTTGCAGCAGCAGCCTGATGACGACGAGCAGACGGCTAACCAGCGGGGTGAGCCGCTGCGCGAGCACTGCTTGCTGCCGCTGCTGCGATTGGCTGCAGCCTCCGTTGCGCTGAAGGCCTTTGTGGTGTCTGCGGATTTCAAAGACAGGGGTCTCCGCAGCCTCCTCAACCTTGGGCACAGCCTTGGCCATGCCATCGAAACGTCTCCGGAGATAGACTGGTATTCGGTTGGAGTTAGCTGCTGAGGCCGCTCTGTTTACTTTCTAGAGGCGGCGGCAAAAAGGTTTCAATGTAGCAAAGACTGTCAAAAAAGGCACACAGAGAAAGGGCAGGGGGACAGAGGCCAGCGACTGTAGGGGCCCCTTGGGCGCTACGCTGAATGCGGCGGAGCTGCTGCCGAACGTGGAATCGGGTGGGCTGTGTTTTCGAAAGGTGTTGCCTTCTCAGGAACCATGGCGAATGTGTGGCTGCGGGCTGCGTGCTAGAAACCTTAGTCTCTGGCCATCTCGGCGTGGGAACTTCCCTAGTCTTCTTCTTGCTTCAGCACGCCTTCCGTCGCCTAGGCCTGCCCTTGGATCTCCCGCCACCCCTGCGGGAAAAGGCTGCGCTGCAGGAGCAGCTGCTGCAACGCATGCAAGGGGACAAAAAAAACACAAACGGCGAAGTCCGCATCGTGATGCTAGAAGCTTTGGGGTGCTGCGTTCCTTCCGTCTCCCTCCCCGTGCCCTTGCCGGTGCTGCGGCGTCTATTTGCACCTTCTCTGAAGCTTGTCAGCTCCTGCTCCTGCTTGCAAGCTCTAGAAGCATCCGCAGGATTCGCAGCAACAAATGCACAGGCCAAGAGGCGGAGAGCCTGTTGTGGCATTCGGCCTCTGTGCGGCAGCGTATGTGTTCCGGGTGAGAAGAGCACACTTCACTATGGGGCAGCCGCAGCAGGCTGGTGGAACTGCTGCCGCTAACACTAATGATGGTGGTGATGATGCTTCCGCTTCAGCGTGGCTAGGGGTGTCCAAGCCCGTTTGCGAAGGACGCAGAGTGCGCCAAGGGTGTGATATGTCTCCCCTGTAGAGGCCTGCTGTGAGATGCCTTTTGGCCGTTGCGGCGCTCCAATGCGTAGAGCCTCCCTGCGTAGGGCATGAGGCTGTCAACTGAATGCTCTGCGAGACGCGGAGAAGCGGAGGCTTTTTTGCATTGCTCAATCCAGGCTATTTGGAGAGCTTGCTATGGACACCTGCTGCCTCCTGCACCTGCGGCTCCACCGCGTGTTGCCGAGCTAAGCTCAGTCACCCCGCGTTTGCACAGAAGAGAGCCGCCGCTGGTGCATTGCCAAACGTTTTCTGCGGCTTCCACCTTCCGCTTCAGGTTCCAAGTCGATTGCCAATAGAGCGCTGCTGCTTGCTGCACTCACGGTGGCTCTACAGAGCAGCCCAAGCGAGCACCCTGTACTCCTGCAGCACCTTCCGTGCTGCGGTGACACTACCGCCATGGCTCTAGCCTTGCAGCAGCTGGGCATTGCAGATGTTGCCTTTTCGCCTGGTACGTACACCTCTCACGTAGAAGGGCCCCTCACCGCTTGTTTGCGCGGGCTGGTAGTATCAGCGTACTGCCTGCTGAGCCGCTTTACATCCATGCGCGTCTGCAGCAGAGACGTGCAGCAGCTAAAAGTTCAGCAGCAGAAGGGTGCAAAGGTGGAGGACCACTGCCGCTCGCATCCCTCCCTCCTCCGCCTATCATTTGCACCTACCTTGCACAGCATATTTTCTCTATTTCTACTTCCAGATAGCCTAATGGATGTACATGTAGATATGTACATATATATGTATATATGTATTATACATATACAGCCAGAGATGTCTCCTTCCGGCTGTGTGACAAGCTACTGCCAAGCCGCAGCTCGCATCCTGCGAGCTCTCAGGACGCTCGGGGTGCTCTGTCCGTTGTTAGAAAGAGTTCGATGCGGCTTGAGAGGGCGTGCTGTTTTTTCAGGAACGACCCGACAGACGTTCACCGTAGAGCTGAGAGCAAGGGCACTGCAGCCTGGCGATCCAATCGCTGCCGCGCTGCAAAACGTAAGCAAAGACTCTTTAGACGCAATGATGCCCCCCAAGCCGTGCAAAGCGCATGAATGCTGAGCACACGGCTGCAAAGCTGTATCAGAGAGTGCTGCATGGTACAAAGGGCGAAGGGGGTGCCATGAACGTGCAGGTGCATGCCTGTAGCGAGAGAGAGAGGGAGAGCTATGCAGTGTCGGCGTGGGACGCATGCAAACGAAAGGAAACAGAAGATGGCTAGCCAGAGATATTCTAAAGAAGTGACCGATGCATACGTGTGCATATATGTATTAATATGTGTATGCTTATGTCCGCATTCCCATCCTTGAAATTCGCGTGTCTTCCGACATATATCCAGGCTCCGACGCTACAGCATTTATCATTCATTGATTTGTGTGTGGGGCGCATATTTCTCGGCTTCACTTTTCGTCTTTCCCCAAGCCCTCTGTCTCTGCGTCTATGCATGCACTTGTGTAGCTCTCTGTCTCTCAATTTGGCTCTCTGTTGGGACGTGTGTCTTTGACTGTCTTCTTCTCTGCATGCGGTTGCACATTGCAGGGAGGATGCCTCTCCATTTGGTGCGGAGGCAGCGGCACGACTAGCCGCTTTCTGCTGCCTCTGTGCCTCTTTCTCTTACTGGACAGCGCCTTCTGCTGGGCATGGCGCAATGCCAGAGCAACCCCCGCGTGTGCAGCAGGGGCGGACGCATCAGAGGCATTGGACGAACCGCTAAGTGTGTCGGAAAGGACACCTGCAGTGCCTCCTTCCTTCCGAGTGCTGCTCGACGGAGATCGTCAGCTCCGGAGCCGTCCTATAGGCGACTTGGTGGCGGCAGCAAAGCAGCTTGTGCGTGGGTGGAATGCCTCTTTTTGCGGAGCCTCTCGTGCTCCAGGCAGCACTAAGCAGTCCTTACCCGTCTGCCTCGCGTTTGCCGAGCCGCTGCAGCTCCTGCAGCACGTTCAAGAAGACCTGATGACTGTAGCAAACAGCGGCGATGGTGTGGCCTTGCAGCCGTTGGTCGCAGCGTCGCTAGAGGAGGAACGGCGGCTGAAGAGCGCTGTGTGGCAGCGAGTGCTGCAGCGGTACATGCCGGGGGGGCCTGTGCGTGTGTCAAACGCTATAAGCAGTCAGTTTGCTTCTGCGCTGCTGATGGTGGCCCCCCTAGCCGCCTCCCCAGTTTTGCTGTCTCTTACCACAAGAGGCACTCACGCCGACGAGAGCTGCGCTCGGGCAGTCGAAGCCGAGAGCGATGTCGTGTCTCTGCCTTACTTGAGGATGACTCAAAGGGTCATGCAGCAGTCTGGGTTTGCCTGTGAGTACAACCGGCCTGCTGCCTTCCACGTGTCTCCCCTGTGGCACCCGCAAGGACAGATATCGGCCGCGCAAGAGAGCGAGCAGAGGGAGCACCTAAGGACCTTCACGGTGGAAGGCGACGCTTCGACTGCCTCTTACTTTTTTGCCTTTGCTGCCGCCTCGGGAGGCACCGTTACGGTGAACATCAGCAGGTAAGCAGGGCACTGGTGGCCTCTTTTTTTTGCGTGGTGTTGTGCGGCGAGTGAGTTTTGCTTGCTGGCTTGCTTGCTTTCCGGAACTGTACATGGGGCATTTCTAATGGCTGTGGCCTATACGAGGTGCTGCGCTTGGAGGCCCCTCAAAGCGTGGCGCTGTCTCCACAGGCAGGCCGTCCAGGAGGCTTCCGAACGGCTGCGCTTGAGTTGTCTAGCTGCAGCGGCAGGCAGGCAGCACCGAACGGGGGCAAGCAGCAGAGAGCTAGGAGGGGTTCCGAGGCGGGAGGCGCTCGGGAACCACGCGGGCTGTACACACAGGACGAGAGAAGAGATAAAAGCGGGAAAAGACGGGAAAGAAGGAGGGGGAGGGATAATCGAATGACGATGACAACCACGTACCGTATTGAATATTACTAGACATGACGACAGCGTGGACGCAGATGGACCGATTGTACGGGCAGGCACGGGTTGTCGTCGCATTGTGTGTCTGGCTTTCGTTGCTGTGCAGGAACTCCGACCTTCAGGGGGATTGCTCTTTTCCCCTGCTTCTGTCCGATTTAGGCTTTGGAAGTGTGCTGCCGTCGGAGGGCTGTCTGAAGGCGGCTGGAGGCTCAGATGGTGCAGCCTCCTGCGCGGCGGGTGTCTCGTTCCGCGGAGCTTCAGAGGAGTTTCTCTTTCGGCCGCAAAACACACTGGTCAATATGCAGGGAATGAGCGATTGCCTTCCTACGCTCGCCGCTCTTGCCGCAGCAGTCTGCACACTGCCGTGCTGTTACAACGGGGGAAGCGCCGAGGGCGTCGCTCCTGATCACCTGGTGTTGCCTTGCAGTCCGGCGGAGCAGCAGCGGCTGCAGGAGCTGCTGCTGAGAGACCTCGAGGCAGTCAAGACGCAGCTGAACAGCAGCAGCAGCAGCAGCAGCAGCACCACCACCACCACTGAAGGGGGGCCGCCACCCTTCGATTGCCACTGGACGGCAGCAGCAGAGGGGGACTGGAGATACTTGTGCATTTGGGGAGTCGGGTGCGTGCGCTATAAAGAAAGCAACCGACTCGAAGCCGTAGCCTCGCAGTTACAGCTGGCTGGATATGCTGTTTGGTGCGGAGAGGATCACTTGGCCGTCGCACTCCCCCCCCCAGCTGCTATACATCGCCAACAGCACGCGCACCTGCAGCAGCAGCATCTGCAACACAACAGGCATCCTTGCGAAAAAAAAAGCGTTTTGTCTCTAAAAGCCTTCGGCGATCACCGTCTGGCAATGTCCTGGGCCCTTCTTGGGCTTCGCAGGCCGGACGTCTTTGTTGAAGAAGTGAGTCTCGCATCTCTCGCAGCAGCTGTCACTGATATTGCTGTTGCGGCTGCATTCGCGGCTGCCACTTCTCTGTTTGCTATTCTGCCTGGCTGCTAGGGCCAGCCCTGCACAGAGCGCATTGGGCTTCAGGGGTGTCTTCTTGCAAAGCTTTCTGACAGCTTTACGCCTAGGCTGACACGCAGAGCGATTCGATGCCTATGCGTTCGCGCACAGCTTGAGCCAGCGTAGATGCGTGCTTGATTTGACGTGTATATCATGCTAAGCAGCTTCACGTTGGGCATGAACTAGCTGTCAAACGCGCAGGCCAGCATTTCGGATCTTCATGCACAGAAAGACCCCGTTTACGCGGTACTGTGATTCTCTCTGCGTGTGCCTCACGGTTGTCACTGTCTGAGTGGGCCGTGTTTCTGCAGTGGCAATGCGTCAGCAAGACCTTCTTGGACTTTTGGACAGAGGCAGAAAAGTCTCTTGGCCTCGAAATTCGCACGCCCTGAACCTCCTACCATCCGTAACGCGACAAACAGGTCCTCAAGAGCACCACAACAAAGTTCAGCGATTGCAGCAGCAGGCGGAGCAGGAGCCACGGCAGCGCTACTCGCTCTCTCAGAGTCGAATCCGGAGTGTCTCTGGTGTTACACGTCAAGTGTGGATCGCAAGCATTCCCACATAGAGCTCCCAGATGCAAGAACTGCTCTCACGCGCCTTGATGATGCGATACGTAGCGATGTGCATCTCCACGTATATATGTATATATATATATGCCTTACATGCATATATGTAGATGTGTGTAGACTCTGCAGCAAAGGTTTTTTCGTACCACATAAAGAAAACTGCATGCGGGCTTGTTGTCTAGCAGCGATGCCACCAGATCTGGTTTCTGTTGCCCCCTGGGTGCCTCCTTCTGAGGCGATGTCTTTCTGGTGAGCCTCAGGGCCTTGCTTTCTTTGAATGCGCGACGTGTCTCGCAAGGCACCCGCCTAGTGGGTGTAAGATATCCCAGAGGGGCTGCTCCTCGGATGCCCTTGTGTTTCTTTGGCGAGCATGTTCCGCGTCTGTAGAGCGGCGAGGAATGGGCACCAACCCCTTCCCCGAAGCTTTCCCCTCCTGCCTCTTGCCAAATCCACCACCCTTCCATATTAGTTGTGCTGGGCAGAATCAGGGTCTCGAGCATACGAGGGTGCGTCATAGCAATTGCATAGGCTACTAGCCCGTATTGTCTTTCTCTCGTCTCTTCATTGGCTGTGCTGCTACTTCCACACCGCTAAGATGTCATCGAATGAAGGTCGAACGCCAGCCAAAAGGTCTCTTCCTCCTCTCATGGGGGGACAGCGTTGGCCTCCGCAGGCTGTGGAGGGAACCGGAAAGGGGGAAGAGACTGCTCGTGCAGAGACGATAGTTGACGAGCACGGAGTAAAACGTTGAACGGGGGACCCTTTACAGCAAATGACATCTCATCCAGGCACTCAGAGAGACGCGGAGGCGCCCTGCTGCAGGTGCACATCCGGCATCGACCTCTTTATGGCCTCTCTAAACATCGTATGGGGGGATGGATGCACTAGGCAGCCCTTCTCCAAGCCTTTGTGGTGTGTAAATTGGAGGCACTACGTGTTAGCACCACTGGCGCAGCCTGCATTCAAAGAGCGTCATTGTATGATCGGTCATGGTGGACCGTCTGCGCATGCCTCTGTAGAGGCACCAGTCCGCAGTTTCAGAAGCGGATTCCTCGACTGACGTCCACGTGGGACCGACGGCGTAAAGCAGTGCCGTTTTACACTCTCCAATGCTTCTCAGGAGCACCTGTAAACGGTATCTCTAGAACCAGCCTCTTGCAAGTAGCACGCAGGCTCTTCCGGCCCCATTTTGTCGCTGGTGGGCATCGTAGGGCAGTCAAAAAATGCCTTCATCAAAAGGCACGCATCTCCGGCAGATTATTAGAAAACGGATTCTCGGGAGGCGTGCACTAGCAGAAATATCTAGCGATACAGCGTGCAAGTTTTGCGGCAAAACTTAGGAGCTTCTCCTAAAAGGAAGCTCTGGTAGAATATGGCGATGCTACCACCGAGTTAATGCGAGACCTATGTATATGTATTCATATGTACATAGGTATTTTTACACCTCAGCTACTGAACGCATGTTCGATCAAATCGTCGGAGGCACACACGCCCCCCCCTTCGCAAAAAGGTTCTACGCGGTTGTGCCGAAGCGGTCAGAAGTCTTCGGCGTGGGAAGAGTCGGGATATTCGATCCATCACTGAGGGTAGATGCCGCAGCTCGCCTTTAGGGCTAAGAATGCCTTTTAGGGTCCTCATGTTATGGCGCTGTATAGAAATATGCAGGTCAGGATAAGACGACTTTTGTGTGCGGTGTATACGGGGAAAGCTTCAGTGGAGAAAGACGCCAAGGATCTATGTCTTGAATGACCGTTTGTTCATGAGCGATCTGAGGGTAAGCTGCTGAATGCTTACGTCTGTAGCACACCTACGAATCGAGGATCTTTTCTCGGGCAGTACGAACTGTGTGTCGGGGTTTCTGTAGGATTGCAGTGCAGTGTTTCGACCATGGCGCTTGGAGGGCGACCCCCCTGTGAGGCACCAAACTGCCTCTTCCTGCGGTCTTCCGCATCCCTCAATCGATGCTGAGCCTCTTTATTTTCTCTCTTTTAGGGAGGCATGAGCACAGAGAAGATGCCGCCCACTGGGGGGGCCCGTAACGGGGGGTAGGGCTGGTTGCCGTGGCTCGCTCGAAGTTCTTGCGCAACATTCTCCGCAAAACTTGAAGCTAGAAACGAATACAGATCCTGACTTTTGGAAGCCTGTAAAGTCGCATCTCGGAGAGGGTGTCCTGTGCATAAATCTGGTGGGTGGTTCTCTTCCTTGGGGTTTCCAGGGGCCCCCCTCTCGGCTGTGGGCCCTTCGATGCAGCAGACCCCGACAGACAGGGGGCCCCTCCGCGCGCACAGCGCTGTTTCCGCTATTGAGTCTTAATATGTGTTTTTTCGTGAAATATGCGCCTTAAAGTATATTTTTTGCTTTATGTACTTCTGCTGATGCTGTCGCCGGACTCCTTCAGCGTAAGGCAAGGCGGCAAGCGGGAGGTCTCGGGGATACTACCTACCCCTGCGCATCTTAGCGGTCGCGCCTCCTGCTTGTGGCTTCCAAAGCCCAGCTGCACTGCGCTTGACTACGCGTGACTACGCTTGACTGCTCTGCAGTGCACGGCGCACTTCTACGTTCGGGAGGCACGGGGGTAGGTAGGCCTCACACGTGGATACAGCGGCGGGGGGGCTCAACTAGCGGGAAGACTGTTTCCTGCATCGCAGGCGAGCACACGACAAAATCGCCGCCTCGCTCGCTCGCGCTGGCCTTTTAAGGCCCCCAACTTTCTCCCCCCGCAGTATCCCCATGCAGCCAGAGGGGCCCCTCAGCCCCTCGACTGCAGGGGCTCCCAGCGGCAGCTGGGGGCCCCCAGCCCCGTGGGGGCCTCAGGGGGCCCCCAAGCAGCTGGAAACGACGCCGCATGCAGGGCTGTGCATGTGTCTTGTGGGCATGCGCGCTGCCGGCAAGACACTCTTCGCCTCCGCAGCTGCAGACAGTGGTGACGCAGCCGCTGTAGATCTCGACAGGTTCATAGAGGAGCATTTCTTGAAGCGGCTCATGTCAACAGCAGGGCAGCACGAGCAGCTGCCTCGCCTCCGCCACTCAGGTCCAAGCAACACACCCCAGCCAGCAACGGAGGCGGCAGACACTGCCGCTGCGATTGCCGCTGGTGTGGCCGTCCACGACGGGTGCAACTGCTCCCCCGACAGACCACTCTCGCCCTTCTGCTGTTTCTGCGCTACCCAGCGGAAGCAGCAACCCACGCCACAGCATGCCGATCCACAGCAGCACCTGCTGCTGCAGCGGAGCACGCCTGCGCAGCCTCTACCAGGCTGTGTCTGCTTAGGCCTCTCCCCCTGCCGCTCGGTACGTTCTTGGCGCGCTGCTGCCTTCCCAGTGCATTGCAGGAGCAGGCAACAGCTGCCGCGGCTCCACCACTTCATCCAGCGCTTCGGAATCTCGACCTTTCGATCCGTCGAAGCTGCTGCAGCGGCCTTCTGCCTCTACATGGCAAGCAGTCCGCATGCCGCAGCGGCGCTGCCCGTGTACTCGAAGGTCAGCAGTTCTGCCAGCAACATTAGCAGCAGTAGCAGCAGCAGCAGCAGTGCTACCCCCACCAATAGCAGCAGCAACAGTAGCAGTGCTACCACCAACAATAGCAGCAGCAACAGTAGCAGTGCTACCCCCAACAATAGCAGCAGCAACAGTAGTGCTACCCCCACCAATAGCAGCAGCAACAGTAGCAGCAGTGCCACCCCCACCAATAGCGGCAGCAACAGCAGCAGCAGTAGCACCCCCACCAATAGCAGCAGCAACAGCAGTAACAGCCGTGAGAATTGTTATGCAGAGTTTCGCGGCTTTCGCATCTCAAAGTGCCAACTACCCGGCCTTTGGCATATACAGCCCCCGGCAGACAGCACTGATGGAAGCAGAGGCTGCAGAGTTAGCGGCATTTCAAGCTGCGAGCTTTGCGAAGTGCCGGATTGTTACACTGCAGAAATCGAGGAGTCGCTGCTGTTGAAGCTGTTTGGCCACATGCACAAGCAGCAGCTGCAGCAGCAGCCGCTGTTGCTGCTATCCTGCGGAGGTGGAGCTCTGCATGCACCTGAAGCGCAGCGTGTGCTCCTGCAGGAGAGGCATATTGTTTGGGTTAGAACCTCTTACCAGCAACAAATCTTCAACATGCTGATGGTCAGTTCCTCTCAAATTGATTTCTAGTATATGGCTGCCCTAAACTTACGCACGGAAATCTGCTGGCGACGCCTGCCGGCCTCCATACAGTCCACACAGTCTTCATGGTATATGTATATGTATGTATATATATATATATATACGTATGTATATATGTATGTATATATGTATGTGTGTTTGTATGTATATATATATGTATGTATGCATATATGTATGTATGTATGTATGTGTGTATATGTGTATATATGTATATATGTACATATGTATGTATATATATGTTGTACGTATGCATATATATATATATATATGTATGTATGGATGGATGTGTGTCTGTGGCTGATCCGAGGTGCTGCAGAGCGGAGAAGGGCCTCTCTGCTTCTCTCCATATGTAGCCACAGCTCTGTCAGAGCCACAGCGTCAGCATCCCCAGCAAGAGCATGCGAGGCGTCAGGAGGTGTCAGACGGCTGTGCAAAGAGCTGCCTTGACCACATGATGAGAACTGCCGTGCAGACCCTCGGAACTGCTGCTGCTGCCGCAGCGGCTGCCGCCGCATTGCAATACCAGTGCTGCATCGATGCAGCTGCTCTTGAGCTGACTGAGACCTTTCCAGCAGATTTCTGTGCAGCTTCAGCGGAAACGCAGCATGCGCGACAGAGACAGCAGCGCGGCTGGTGTGGCTCTTGTTTTTCTGGTGCGCTTTGCCACAGGCAGCGCCTGGCAGCTTCCCTCGGACTGCTCGCTCTCCACCTGCCCGAGCAGCAGGAAGACAACGAGGAGGGGCCATATGCGGTGTGTGCGAGGCTTCTGCATCCGCTGAATGCGCTGCAAAGCCTCCTCGGCGGAGACACCAGGGATTCTCAGCAACAGCCCAGCAAGCACCGAGCCTGTCTCACGCCAACAGCTGCTGTTCTTGCTGCTGCCGTGCGGCTTGCCGAAGTGTACGTGGCCAGGCTGCCAGAGCTGCGGCAGTGCAGCACGCGCTGTTGTTATATCCCCGCGATCGGGGTGTTTCTTCGAGCAGCGGCTGTCCTCACCGAGCCAGCAGCAGCCGCAGAGGCGCCAACGCGTGTCACCAGCACCCCAGCTGCTGCTGCTGCAGCGTCTGCAGCAGAGAACAGCAGCGGCAGGAAGCCAGAGCCGTCAATACCCACAGCGACACCCCCTTCTCTTCCGAGAGATGTGCTGCTGCTGCTGAAGACAAGCGCTCAGAATGCAGAGGCCCTTGCAGGCGTGTCTGTCCTCAACGTGCTGTCTACGGCAACGCAGCACTACCTGATCCACTGTGTTGCTGCTGTTGCTAAAGCCGAGCTGCATGCGCTGCTGTACAGGCCCCCCCCCGCCCTTCCGGGCAGCACTTTCCTCACGCTGCCGCTGCCTCTGCTGCTCGCTTCCACGGGGCTGCATGCACCCCCCGCCGATTCTCAAGAAGCCAGGAGTCTGCTGCTGCAGGCGAAGGAGGCACGCGCGTGCGTCAGTTGCGCTGTCACTGCACCTCCTGCGGGTGACGTCTCGCCGAGATGCCGCCACTGCATGCAGCAGCTCCCCCGATTCAGGTGTACTGATTGCGATGCAGCGGCAGCTCGCACTCGCGCTGCGGCTTCTGTCTGCACAAAGGACTCAAGGATGCCTGTTGCGGCGTCTTTCCTGCGCGTGCAGGGGCTTCTCGCTGTGCGAGCTGAGAGCTGACTGGCTGCTTTGCGAGCTGCTGCGGACGGCAGAGAGTGCGGCAGTGCAGAGCTTGCATCCAGCTCTCAGGCCTGAGCCAGCGGTCGGTGCTACCCGTGCAGAAGCGCAGTGGCAGCTCCAGGAAGGCGATGACGCAAATTTAGGCGATCTAACGCAAGCGGCTGCGACAGTGGCGGCGACTCCGTGTTTCCTCCAAGAGGCGGTGCTCACGGCCAGCTCCATTTGCAAGTAAGCGACCCCTTGTTTCTACGGCTAGAGCTTTGGGTTTGCGTGCAATTGTGAATTTGTTTGTACGATCTTGCCGCCTTGCAGGGGCTTGCTGGGCTGTTGCCTGCTGCTCACCTTCCGATCCGCCGATGAAGGCGGTGCACTTGCGCCCACCGGTAGAGCAGCCGCACCCGGTGGAATGCAAGTTTCAGCACAGGCAGATGCAGAAGCGCAGCTGCTCTGTCGTGCTGCTGCTGCCTCGCCGACAGGCACGAAAATCGCATCCTCCCTTCATGGCAGCAGCAATTTTCGCTCGCTGCAAGGCTTTCGCCCCCACCGGGCAGCAGCAGCCTTTGCGGCAACACGAGTCGCCGTTGCAGCCGCGCGGTCTGCCTGCGTTGCCGCTGACGCGCTGCTGCACTACTGGGAGCTGCAGCGGCTGCTTTGCAGCCTTCCTACTGCGCTTGTCGATGTTCAGAGCCGCTACTGGCTCTCGCTGCTGAGTTCGTCGGAGGCCTCCCGCCAGCTTGATGCCGCAACTGCGGCATTTGCAGCCGCCTGTCTTCCCCCGAATCGCGTGCTGACAGACGGCACTGAAGAGAGGCTGCAGTCGCTGAAGTGCGCGGCGAGGCTGCAGACGCTGCCTGCGTGGTGGCTCAACTCTCTGAGGCTGGCGAGCAGGGGTTGCGCGCGGAGGCGCAGACACCAAATGCAAGCAGCCGTGCCTTTAGAGCAGCTGGGCCTTGTGCGATTCAGAGGGAGGAACGCATCGCTCCTGAGGCAGCTGCAACGGCGTGTCTTCTCTTTCTCCTCTGCTGGACTGCATGGCATGGCCAAACTGCAGCTTGCCGCCGTGAGGCGTGTCGTACGAGCAGCAGCGAGAGCAGCGGCTGCAAGGTGGCTGCAACCTATCTGTCGTCTCGAAAGTCGTCATTCTGCAGGTGTGCTGACAGGAAAAAACGATGCATGCCGCTGTGGGGCCTCAGCACCGCTAGCAGCAACAACATCAGCAGCAACACCATTAGCAGCCGGTGCCTCCGCGGCTCGGCATGCAAATACTAAGTGGCATCAGCAGCAGCAGATTCTGCTGCAGCTTGTGCAGCGCATATGGGAGGCGCTTGAGCTCCGCCAGGTGTGCAATCCTTTGGAGGGTTGCCTTGTGGAAGTGCTCCTTGCCGCAACCCCTGCCGCAGCTGCTGCAGCAGTTCAGGGAACGGCGGGAGCATCCCCAGGCGCTGTGGCAGATGCTGCAACGATGGAGGCGAAAAAGCTGCTCTATCGGCTGAAGATTCTTCGGGAGGAACTTTCGAGGAGTTTAGAAATACGGCGCTTCGTAACGGATGGCATGCGAGGGCCTTGTGGTGGTGGTAGTGCCTATCCTTCTTCTTCGCAGCCCTCCAAGGAAGCGTTTGCAGTGGCGTACGCTGCTGTGGCCGCTGCCGTCACTGCGGCTGCAGTCGAAACTCTCCGCGCGCTGCTGCGTCGCGTTGCTGCCTCAGCACTCGCGTCAATAGAAGGCAGCAACACCCTGGTGGTTGGTTCTGTGCACAAGACACAGCGGCTGACGCTCCTGCGACATGTGTTCTCGCAGCAGGCAGTTCCACAATCCGCCGTGCAACGCTTCTTTCGGTAGGCTACCCCAGGCTTTTTGAAGGGGCTGTCGTATCCTGCTTGCTGGCGTGCTCGATGTGTCGGTTGCTTGCTGCCCCGCGCGGTGTACTGCATCATGATGTGGGGAGAGCTGCTGTGGCTGTGCGTTGATCGATCACCAGAAAAGCCGCCTCTCTTTTTTCCCTCCCGTTTACCTCCGTCTCGAAGCTCGTGCTTTTTCCCTTCTCTGATGGACTTGAGGGCAGCAGCGGCTGCACGCGGACGAGTGGAAGGTTGCAGCAGGTTGAGACGTTATCCACAGTTTCCGCAGTGCTTGAACAGATGCTGCGGAAGCCGATGATGGTGCTAATCGGGGGGGAGGCCTGGCGGATGTCTCGCGTTCGCTGCTCGGTGCTGTCCCCCTGCTGCAGCATTACTGCCGCCGTTGGGGTCAGTTGCGTTGTGTGCCGTCTTCACGCATTCCTGAGGAGAGGGGAGAGGGCAGCTCTTTTTGCAGCTCCACGCGCGCGCGCAAAAGAACGGCACAGCCGTTGCAGCTAGTCATAGGAAGGGTGACGGGCGGCTAGCGATGCATAGGCTAAAGGCTTGCGCGTTGGGTCTTAGGGCAATTTTGCCGTCAAGAGCGGCGCTCCGAGGCGAGGCGTAGCGTAGCGTAGCATGACACCACGGCAATGGCATAGCCAGCGTTTCAATTGCTGCAGCAGCTCCGCACTGCCTTGTACTGATGCGCGCCGTATGTGCAGGTGTACGGACAGCTGCCGCGGCCAGTGCTGCTGCGGGCAAAGCTGCTGATGCAACAATCCTGTCTCGGTGTCTTTCTCCTAGGATTCCCCACGATCAACTCGCCAACGCCTTTCCTGTACTCGCTTATGCTACGGAGACAGCAGCAGCAGCACCAACACGTGTATACGGGGTTCTACCCACCTCTTGAGGAACAGCATCGCTACCTCACCAAGCAGCGGCAGCAGCACCAGGGGCATGCGGATGCAGAGTTTCGCTTTTGGCTTCAACAGCTGCTGCGCAAGGAAAGAGCACTTCTGGGGGGTGCCTCAGTCACAATTCCTTTCAAGGAAGAGGTGCTACCCTTGGTAGACTATGTGCACGGCTCTGCCCGAGCAGTAGGCGCTGTAAGGCAACCTTGGCCTGCATCCAAAAGCCTGTCACTACGCACGTACATATACATATACATATATATGAATACATATCTCTATACGCATACATATCCACATATAAAGATGTACGTATATTCTATCCGTGTGTCTTTCGGCTAGCCACAACAAAGCGCTCGCTCTTGCAGAGATCCTTCTGCCTCGAGTTCACGCTGCCCTCTGGACGCAGTATTGCCGCTTGCAGCCGCATCCTCAGATGTTTCTGTACACAGACCGCTTAACAGAGCCCCCGTCCTTGTGTTTGTGCTGCTTGCTCTTTATGTGTGCCTCTCTGTGACGGTGAATTGCTTTTCTTTTCAGGTGAATACGCTCTTTTGGAACCGTTCGGGGTGCCTCGTCGGGGCGAACACTGACGCTTATGCAATAAAGGAAGCCCTTCGAAGGCATCGACGGGTGCGTGTATATGTGTGTATGTGTGTGTATGTGCTCCCTGCAGCTCCTGCAGACGGATGCCTGCTCTGCATGCCAAAGGCGTGTTTCTATGCGGCCGATTCGGCTTTTCGCGTAGCGTCTCTTCCCACCCGTGTTCCTTCGAGCTGCTTCCTGAATAATGCCCTTTTCCTAGAAGCGAGGCAGATCCAGCGTCGGCGTGTGATGTGTCTCTCGCAGCCTGAAGACGTCTGCTGTATTTTGCTCTTGGGGGCTGGGGGAACGGCCCGCGCGGCGCTGGCAGCCGTCGCTCAGTGGTGCAGTCGCCGAGAGAGGGGCAGCAGCAGCTCTGCGCGAGACACTCGCTGCTGCTGTGGCAGCAGCAGCGTCAACGTGTACATCTTGAACCGAACGCTGAGTCGCGCGGAATCCTTGGCGAGAGAGTTCGGGGCGGCCGGTGCCGTTGTGAACATTGAAGCTCTACAAGACGCGCATATTGACGTCATTGTAAGGCCAGAACCCCGCAATCCCAAACTCCTCGTGGTGTAGCGGTGCAATTGATTTTGTAGAAGTTGCTGTCTTACGCGCTCTCCGCCGGTATACATACGACAGCGTCAAAGCCTTTCTTTCGCGCGCTCGAAATATCTCCCTCTGACCCATGCCGCGGCGACGCCAAACGCGTGCAGCTGCAGTCAACTCTCTTCCTTGACAACGGTGTGCTTGTTCTCCCCTTCCTGCCCGCCTCCCCAGATCAATGTTCGTCCCCCGTCTTGCCCCTTGAGCCTGCCGTCGTGGACCTTCTCGCGGCACCCGCTGCTCATTGAGTTGGTCTACGCCCCCCCGCAAACACCGCTGCTTCGCCTGGTACGCCAGCAGGAGCTTCCAAAAACAACAAGCAAGCAAGGGGCCTCGCGCCTCCCTCCCTCCCTCCTCTAACCGCGTACTATTGGCGACTCGCCCATGCGCCTGCTCGTCTGGCAGCCTTGCTTGCGTGGAGGCAAACGCATGCGCAGAGGCCTTCATGGGCTGCACGGCAAGTTTCTGGTTTGCCTGCGTTACGCCCTCAGGGCAGTGCGTGGGGATGCCCCGCAGTGTACGGTCTAGAGCTTTTCTTATGGCAAGCGCGCATGCAGACACAGCTCATCCTGTGGGGTCTTCAGTGGCATCGCCCCGCAACGTTGGCAGAAGAAGCCACCTTAGCGAGTTCGGCCCCTTTTCTTAAGGACCTCAAAGCCTTGCAGGCTGCCTGCGCGCCCGCTGAAGACAAAGAGGACGACAAGGCGGGGGGAAAGCAAGCGCGCCTCCCTGACAGTGATGACGACGAAGACTGGGTGGGCAGCTGCCTGCGCAGCGCTTCGAAGCCGCGTGGAAGGCTGACGTGCTGCTGTCTGTTTATGTGTGTGTCGCTAGCCTCTCTGCGTAGCACAGGCTTCTGCTGGGCTCGTGCCCCTTGCTTCGTTCGGATTCTGTCCTTTGGACTTGCTCGTCTGTGGGAACGTGTGTTCTTATGCATCTGTTTCCCTGGTGCTACTCGCCTGCGTTGCTGCCTCTCAGATGGCGCCGCATGGGGCCATCTCTCACTGCCTCCTCGACCCTTCCGTGCCTACCCTAAAGCTGACCACCCCGCAGCTGCGCTGTGCAGTTTTCAGAGGTTCTTGCCTTTCGACTCCCTGTGCCTCTAGAATCAAGGCTCCCAGTACCATACATACCATAACTTGCCGCGTTTTTCGAGTTCGCCAGTGCTGCGTTCACGCAGGCGTCCTGGAGGCCTGCCCCAGGTTGGCAAAAGGCCTGGCGAGAGGCGGTGCCTTACGTCGTCGATTTCTACAAACGCAAATTCGGAGAGGTGCCTCCTCTTCAAATCAGCTCCTTTCTCTGACTCTCGTACAGCTTGTGCGCTAATTCCCACTTCTGCAAGCATACCTGCCATATCGGGCCCGCACCAAAACCTCCGCTGGCTGGCTAAGCGGCAGACTCTACCTTCACTGCAGCGCGCGAACACGCTGGATGAACGCACACGCGACGCCTATCGTCGCCTGCTCAGCTTACTTCCCTTTACCTGCACGGTTCGGGGAGGGTTGGGCCCTGAAACTTATTCTGTCCACGGACTTGCGAGCAGCTCAAAAAGTGCTTTTTGGCTCCACATGCGTCCTCAAAACTGCATTTTTTAATGCTGCGGACCCCTTCATATCCATCCACTAACACATCTACTGAAGCGGCCGCAGCTGCTGCTGCTGCGGCCGACCGTCTTATTCTTTAAATAAGCGTTACTCGAATAGCAGGCTGCCGCTACCCAGGGCCCATGATGGGTGCTGCTCGCCAGTCATCTCCCAGATATCCCCTTCGTCTGCCACTTTAGACCCCTCCATCAGTGCGAAATCTCCACCATATCGCGCCGCTTCAGACGCCAACGGATAACTCTTGAACCTTTGAGGCTGCTCCGCAGCCAGCGCGTGCAGCTGCTGCAGCAACTCAGACACGACGCACAAGTCCAGATTCGCTGGAGATTCCTGGTGCTCTACAAAGGGCCAAAATATATTCAAATACGGGATTAGCTCTCCCCAGCACGTGTGATTCTCAGGCCGCTTAAGGGCTGGGACTGAGTCCGTTTGCGTCTCCTCGCCCCTCAGCATGTCAGGCGGGTGTGTGGATCGCGTGACGTCTGCCAGTTGCTTCTTGGAAGGGTCTGCTGGCGATGCCTCCTGTTGTTCCCAGACAGACGATCCAGCCACCTGATCTCTGTGGAGCCGCACCGCCAGCCATCGCCTCCACTTGTCCGACTTGGAATAATGAAATCGCTGCAGGACGAGGGAGGCCATGCCATCCAGACATATCAGCAGCACCTGGCGGAGCATCTGGCGCGTGCTGTGGGGAAGGCACTGCAGGCAGAACGGCAAATCGGTGCCTTTATACAGCTCTGTGCATGCAGCGCACTCCCTGCGCCAGCTGCAGCAGCAGAGAACCTCGCTGTTGCTCAACGAGAAAGTAGGCGGAAATCCCAGAGTCAGAGGAGCCGCTGCCCCAGAGTATGAGTATTGCCGACCCCCTTCTATGAGGGCCTGCTCTACAGTAGATACACCCCAAGCAGATCTCTCTCCGTCTCCCCAAACGAGACTATCTTTCTCCCGTGAAATGTGCACTCTCCTTCGCTTCCCCCCTGTAATGCGCCTAGACCGCCGTCGCAAACTCCTCCCCTGCAGACGCACACACATATGCGCAAACACAAACACACACGCCAACATACACACACAAACACAAACACACACAAACATACGCACACGAAACACAAACACAGAGATACACACACACACACAAACATATACAAACACAAACAGAGATACACACACAAACATACACACAAACGTACACACAAACACAAACACACAAACACAAACACAGACATACACACACGAAACACAAACACAGACATACGCACACGAAACACAAACACACACAAGCACAGAGACACACACACACACAAACATAGAGATACACACACAAACACAAACACAGACATACACACACAAACATAGACATACACACACACACGAACACACACACACGAACACACGAACACACACACACACACACGAACACAAACACACACAAACACAGACATACAAACACAAAAACAGACATACACACACAAAACACAAACACTCACACAAACACTCACACAAACATACACAAACACAAACATACGCATACACGCACAAACATACACACACACACACACACAAACATACACACACACACACACACACACACACAAACACACACACACATGTACACACACACACACACATACACCTACACACACACACGCACATATGCACACACACATACACCTATACACACACACACACATATACAGATACACACACATACACCTATATACACATATACATACACGTATATACACAAATGCACATATCTACACACACATACACATCCATACACACATGCACATATACAGATACACAC